CAGTAGGTGGTTGGGGAGCCCATAAATAGAGGCCAAGCTAAAGGGTTCCTAGGTCCAGTCCTGCTGGAAGAGACCCCTGTGTAGGGGCTCCACCCATGGGAAAGGACCATAGGGGGTCCCATCCAGGAGACATCGAAGTCCCATCTGGAGCCTTAGCTGGAGGGACTATTTGCAAAGGCTAATTCTGGAGTTTGGGTCTGGAGAAGCTCATTGGAGAGTTCCAGGAGGAAGTCGGGGAAAAGTGTCCAGCTGTTCTATGGTGGTGTGAGTCTGTGTCTCCCTCACTGAAAAGTGGCCGTTGGATATTGGAAGGAGTTAACTGGTGATCCTGTGGCAGTGTGAGTGCTGGATGTTAGTGACTGTGCGTAGCTTTTGGTCTTACGGGAGAAGTCCTAGTCACCTGTCAGCATTAGAGATTCTCGGGCACATCAAATAGTTCAGTTCACCAGTTTTGGGGTATCCTATGCTCCCTTCAACCCACCCAAGTTCACTGTTGTAATAAAACCCTAAAATGACACCCCTAGAATGTTTATTCAAGCCAGTGAAAGAGTGGAGAAAATGCTGTGTGCCTGGCCGTGTGCGCTCCAACTGGAGGAAAGGAATCAAGTTCACCAGCGGCTCCTTAGGGGCTGCGCTAAACCTGTCAATGATTGTAATGACATGGAGAGGATGGACATGGCACATAGTTTGTGAAGTTGTCAAGTACTGGGTTTACATATTACCTCCTCCCTCGCTGTAAAGAAAGAAGGTAGAAGTTGGTTGCATGCACACGTTTCTGCAGTTCTTTCTTTTAGTTGTGTAGACTCGGTCCACCGTGCCAATATGCCTCCACTGATGGAGGAGAACCTGCCCACCACCCCAGCACATCAGAGGACACGGCCTGGGAGGACAGAGAACTGCTGGGAACCACCTGGGGCTATAGGAAATGTAGTCCCCAGGAGATATTTTTCTATCAAGGCTATAGGCTTGATGGAACGACAGGTCCCAGGAGACCAGAGAGCTGCAGTAGGAGGAAAAAGGGAATGAAGCCCAGGGATCAGGACAGTTGCATGGAAGACAGTAAAAGGGGACCATTAAAGTGTGCTGCTGTGTCTACACAGAGGTCACAGCTGTAAGTAATGGCTACTGCACATATATATATATACTGTATGTTAAAAGGAGTTTTTATTACAAAATATATGAAAAATATTTTTTAACCCCCCTGGCGGTATTCCCGAGTGTAGCTCGGGGTAAAATGTCAGTACCAAAAGCGGTAACCCCCCCGAGCTACACTCGGGCTTACCATGCGGCGCTGCATAGGGAGTCCCTGCAGAGCTTACCTTGTCCTTCGCTCCCGCGATGTGTCCCCTGCAGCGTCCCCGGCCATCTCCTCCGGCCGATGCCGGCATCCCGCTTCTGTGTTCCGGTCCCTGTGACGTCGGGACGTACGGGCGCTGCCGGCAGCAGGAAATTTGAAAATTTAAAAAAATGTCATTTTTTTCAAAACAAATTTTTCATAGTAAAACATTCCTGTATCAAACCATTTCACATACATTTTGTCCCGAGTGCTTTGTCCGGCGCCCTGCCTGCATTTTTACTGTTCTTTCTGCCTGGAAACTGAGAAACGTCCATGGCGTCCAAAAAGCGTCCCTTTAGGTCAGACGCGGTTTTAGACCAGCTAGAGAACAGCGATAGTAAATCAGAACCACTTGCAGAATTGAGTGATAATGATTGGTGGGGAAATTCCTCATCAGACACTGAAAACGATTCTGCGACTGAGCTCAGCGATGTGCGAACTTGGCGCTATATTTCACATTTCAGTGTTTTTGGTTTGATTATATTATTGAATTACATTTATTATTATTTATATTATTATTTTTTAGGATTATTTATTAAATTATAATTTATGATTTCGTGTTTCAAATTTTATCCTCCCCGGGATGTTTTCTAGACTCTTGTTCGGACAGATTTCAGTGAGTTATTCCTAAAAATTACAGACCTACAATAAAAAAACTACATATTTCCATGCAAAATAATGGTACCGCTTTCAGCACCAAAAATCGGAAATAATCAGACCGCTAGGGAGGTTAAAATACATTTCAAATCTAATGTATGTCTTTAAAAATACAGATCCGCATTTTTGGAACGCATTTACAAATATATGTGAAAATATATGTTAAAATGACTTTTTTTATATGTTAAAAAAAAATCGGAAGGACATATTTAAAAATATATATATTTTTTTAAATATATTCTTCAGATTTTTTTTAACATATAAAAAAGTCATTTTAACATATATGTTCACATATATTTGTAAATGCGTTCCAAAAATGTGGATCTGTATTTTTAAAGACATACATTATATTTGAAATGTATTTTTAAATATATTTTTCATATATTTTGTAATAAAAACTCATTTCAACATGCAGTATGTATATATATATATATATATATATATATATATATATATATATTGAAATATATTGAATATTGCCAATATTGTAGTATTTCAAATATATGTGAATATATTTGGGAAGAATATTTTAAAAAGATATTTCAAATATATTTTTCTTCCATGTGGGTTGGGGGATATGTATCAAGAATAATTATCAACAAAGTTAGGTAAAAATCAGATAAACCCCCAAAGTCTATGGAACAGTTTTTTTATTTTTTAAATTGTGACCTCCACGTCTGCAATCCTGGAGCAGACAATGGAGACAGTTTTACACAAAAGGTCCTTGGTAAAAGAGACACCTAAATTGGCTCACTTATACCCACCTTTCCTGTTGCCACCTTTGCCTGTCTCAGACCATGCATCCAGCGTGTTGTGGGTTCCAGAATTCCTGCCATCTGCTATTCCAGTCGGCATCTTGAGCATCCTTACAGACTATCAGGTTCTGAAAAAGGGTGAAGGTTCTAGACCAAAATGCATGCAGTTTTGGACAGGACCACCATGTATGAAGAACACCACACACCGCTGTCTACAAACCCTAAAGCAGGGTTAGGCAACCTTAAAGAGGAGGAGGTCTACCTGAACAACATGGGAAAAGTCAAAGATATCTGGGCACAGCAGGAGTGTATTTACCATGAGGCAAGCAAGGCTTTTGCTTTGGATGGCATTTTTCAGTCGGGGGGGGGAGGGGGGTGGCGCAACCCCCTGGAAGAAGGGACACATGTGAGGATGGGGACTGGACCCAGTGAAGAACTGTATGAGCTTTCCTCCACCACATGGTATCCGAAAGAGGATGTGGGCTGCTGGAGGGTGGCAAAGCCCAACTGTTGCTCCTGTGGATGTCCAGATAACTGACCAAGCTCACCTGGGCTTTCCTGGTCATGGCTCCAGTGATCTCCAGCTTTGATGGTCAGTGCTATAAGAACTAACTCTCTCTTTCATTGGGGTGGGGCACATGAGGGGTGCAAGATTTTTGTGTTGTTTAGGGCAGCACTCCGCATGGGACAGGAGCCTGCACTACAGAGGAGGCATCTCCTTATGCAGCTCTTGCTTCCTACTACAACTACAACTTTTGATGCTCTGGGATGGTGGGTCAGCAAGCCCAGACCGACATCTACCAATCACCTGGCCTCGATCTACTGGTAGATCTTGATCTATGGGTTGCTGACTCCCACCCTAAAGCATCGATCATTTTAGGTGGGGTTTCCATGAGAACCCAATACCACCTAAAGAGGACTTTGTCGGCAGATTCCAGGCAGGTGCATCTTAACCCCTTGGCACTGGCGCCTCCTGGCCCTTCAAGGGTTTCAGAAGCCGGGAGGCGGGGTGGGGTTTTAGGGTCATGTGACCACCATGATTCGCTGTCATGGCGGTCACGTGATAGAGGAGATCTGGACCTTTCCATGAGTATCGGACATGTGTGCTGGGAGTGCTCTCAGCACATGTTTTTCTTAATTGCACGCAAATGTGCAGCCGCTCGGTGTTGAGGCCCAGACGCCGGGAGGCCACACATTTGCTTGCGGCCGGCGCCAAGAGGTTAAACAGTATCCAGCTTTAGCACAGTGGCTAAATGGTTAGCACCTTTGCATGGCAGTACTAGGGTCATTGGTTTGAATTCCAACCATGGCACCAACAGCCTGGAGTTTGCATGTTCTCCCTGTGCTTGTAGGTGAATTGGCTCTTGACCACATTGGCCCCAGTATGTGTATGTATGAATGTGACCTACAGTGAAGGAAATAAGTATTTGATCCCCTGCTGATTTTGAATGTTTGGCGTAGTGTGTTACCAATTGTTTTCTTGGTGACTGTGGTCCCAGCTTCCTGGAGATCATTGACAAGATCCTCACGTGTAGTTCTGGGATGATTCCTCACTTCTCATGATCATTGACACTCCACGAGGTGAGATCTTGCATGGTGCAGACCTAGGGAGACTGACACTTGTTTTGTGTTTCTTCCATTTGTGAATGATTGCACCAACTGTTGTCACCTTCTCACCAAGCTGCTTGGCCATAGTTTGGTAGCCCAGTCCAGCCTTGTGTAGGTCTACCATTTTGTCCCTGACATCCTTGGACAGCTCTTTGGTCTTTGCCATGGTGGAGAGTTTGGAATCTGATGGTTTGATTGCTCCTGTGGACAGGTGTCTTTTATACAGGTAACACAATGAGATTAGCAGCACTCCCTTTAAGAGACTGCTTCTAATCTCAGCTTGTTACCTGTATGAAAGACACCTGGGAGCCAGAAATCCTGCTGAATGATAGGGGATCAAATCCTTCTTTCCCTCATGAACATGCAGATCAGTCATCATTTGTTAGGCGCATTTCTGCTGAATTTGTTGTTGTATTCTGTCTCTCAGAGTTACACCGAACATTCCATCGTTAGACCGATCATTTCTGTGTGAGGGGCGAACATTCAACATCAGCCGGGGAGCAAATACGCATTTCCTTCACTGTAGGGATTGTATACCCCTTGAGGGCTAAATGGTACGCCCCTTGAGGGTTAGGGACTGATGTGAATGTAGATATATGTAAAGCGCTGTGTAAATTGACGGCGATATATAAAAACCTGTAATCAGGGGTGGACTGACCATTTGGAAACTCGGGCACTGCACGAGGGCCCGGGGTCAGTAGGGGGCCCCATGAGATGCCCCTGGTACCTTTTTCATAGGCTTTTTTGAGTTTGGGCAAGGACACAGGGGCCCCATGATCCCCTATTGCCTGGGGGCCCCATGAGTTGTCAGTCCGCCCCTGCCTGTAATAAATAAATAAATAAACTTTAGACAAGGAGTCGGAGGAGAAGGGCTGAAGAAATTGTCGCAGTTCAGGATGTTTTTAGGAGGCGGGGCCATGACTCATACCCGCAGGCCTCAGACAAGAGTCACGCTTCCATGCAGCGCTGATAAAGAAAAGATTTTACTGTTAATACGAGGATCTTCCCAAATGTTCAAAAAGAGTTCCTTTAATTCTCACGAGTTTCATTTTTTTTTTCACCCTGCAGTTATTTGCAGCTTCGTCTCCTGAAATGAAATTTAATTTCAGGTGTTTCGCATTTTCTAGCAATTGGATGAATATTTTGTTCTGCGTCCTGTAATAAATTCTTGAGAGGTAAGGAATAAGCCTAGCGCCATAAATATTTCATAAAGAAAACTTATTGCTGCCTATTTTACTCTGCGTCAGATTCTAATTGTGTTCTCCGCCAGCCGACTAAACGCATCAAACGTTTCAATTGTATCTGTAAAGCGGCATTAGAAAGGAATCTTTTGCAATAAATAATGCCGGGGAGTCGTACGCAAAGCGCTCCCTGTTTTCTTTCCTCCTGTGTTAGGCTGAGTACACATGGGTCGTTTTTTTTCAAACGCTGGGCATGCATTCAGTAGGCATCTAACAAGCTTCACCAGGCATTTCCTAAGCACATCGGAAGGGTCTACAGCAGCAATGGGCAAACTACGGCCCGGCGGACCTTTTAATCCGGCCCGCGGAGTGTGATAAAAAAAAAAACAGCCAGGGCAGGCAAACATTGGCTGTCAGGATGTGTGTAGGCGGGGGCAGCGTGATGAGCGTGAGGGGAGGGGAGCTAGGCTAGACTCTGAAGACCGGAACGGCGCGGGAACACGGCAAGAGGAACGCGCCGAGCAAAGGTAAGTAAATTGACACAGGGGGGACTTGGCTTACTACTTGGGGGGGAATAGTACTATGGGGGATGAATTACTATGGGGGATGAAATACTATATGGGGGATGAATTGCTATATGGGGGATGAATTACTATATGGGGGATGAATTACTATATGGGAGATGAATTACTATATGGGGGATGAATTACTATATGGGGGATGAATTACTATATGGGAGATGAATTACTATATGGGGGATGAATTACTATATGGGAGATGAATTACTATATGGGGGATGAATTACTATATGGGAGATGAATTACTATATGGGGGATGAATTACTATATGGGGGATGAATTACTATATGGGAGATGAATTACTATATGGGGGATGAATTACTATATGGGAGATGAATTACTATATGGGGGATGAATTACTATATGGGAGATGAATTACTATATGGGGGATGAATTACTATATGGGGGATGAATTACTATATGGGGGGATGAATTACTATATGGGGGATGAATTACTATAGGGGGGATGAATTACTATATGGGAGATGAATTACTATATGGGGGATGAATTACTATATGGGAGATGAATTACTATATGGGGGATGAATTACTATATGGGAGATGAATTACTATATGGGGGGGATGAATTACTATATGGGAGATGAATTACTATATGGGGGATGAATTACTATATGGGGGATGAATTACTATATGGGGGATGAATTAATATGGGGAATGAATTACTATAGGGGGGATGAATTACTATGGGGGATGAATTACTATGGGGGATGAATTACTATATGGGGGATGAATTACTATGGGGGATGAATTACTATATGGGGGATGAATTACTATATGGGGGATGAATTACTATGGGGGATGAATTACTATGGGGGATGAATTACTATGGGGGATGAATTACTATAGGGGGGATGAATTACTATAGGGGGGATGAATTACTATAGGGGGGGATGAATTAATATGGGGAATTAATTACTATAGGGGGGATGAATTACTATAGGGGGGATGAATTACTATGGGGGATGAATTACTATATGGGGGATGAATTACTATATGGGGGATGAATTACTATGGGGGATGAATTACTATATGGGGGATGAATTACTATATGGGGGATGAATTACTATAAGGGGGATGAATTACTATGGGGGATGAATTACTATATGGGGGATGAATTACTATATGGGGGATGAATTACTATGGGGGATGAATTACTATGGGAGATGAATTACTATAAGGGGGATGAATTACTATGGGAGATGAATTACTATGCTTACTATGGGGGGAATATTACTATACTTACTATGGATGGCATGGTAGTGGCTGGGCCGGCCAGCAGCTAGTGGGGGGCATAAAAGTTTTGTAAAATAACTCTTTTTATGCTTTTCTACCTTAAATTAATCTAAACATTTAATGTTACAAATTTTAATTTAATTTATAATAATTCACACATACACATCATTCATCTACTCTTGGTCCGGCCCCCGGGTCCAATATATGAATCCATTGCGGCCCTCAAGTCAAAAAGTTTGCCCACCCCTGGTCTACAGAGATTAGACAGTTAGTCTCCCATAGCTGCTGAATGCCACTAAAATCTCATTAAACCTACAGGGGGACTTTCATTAAATTTGTCTCCAGCATACCCAGATGGGAGCTAAAGGGTGCTTAAAGGGTTTCACGAAAGATACTTAAATCCAGGGAGATGCAGGTACTCCCCCCTCCCTTCTAAATCACCCCTTGTCTCCGCCCTCTACCCACCTCCGAACAGCATTCCTTGGCTCCACCCGCTGAACCGCTGAACACCTCCCAGTACCCCCCCCCCCCCCCCCCCCATTTTAGAGATTAAAAAACAAGTGTAATTTTGTGGTGCTAAGTAATTTACATAGAACTTGTAATGCCTTTTCTGGATGCAATAGATGAATGTTTCTTCCTGACTATCATGCACAGGGCGTGGGTATTCCTCAGGGCCAAGCGAGTTTGCTGTACCACCATCAATGATCTGGGAGTTGGCTTTGGCTAAGTTGGGCACCCATGTTTTCCACTCTTGCACCCCTCTTTGGTACAACAGGTGTCTACCTGAACATCTCTCCTTACCAAACCCAATCATAGGGCCTCCAAGGAAATCCTTTATTTATACCAATTCTTAGGTTGTAAGCTCCCAGGATCAGGGCCCCTCCTAGCCCTCTTGTAGTGAACTGTATTGTTGCTGTATTGTCTCCCGTTATATTGTAAAGTGCTGAGCAAACTGTCGGCGCCATAAATCCTGTATAATAATAATAATAATGACAACAGGAAAAAGCAATAAAATAGATCACCTACTGCCATCAACAATACATAGTTAGTCTGGCTGAAAAAAGACAAAAGTCTATCCAGTTCAACCATTAAAAAAAAAAAAGTTCTAATCCTAAACCCACAGTTGATCCAGAGGAAGGCAAAAACACCCAGCAAAGCATGATCCAATTTGCTCCTGCAGGGGAAAAAAATTCCTCCCTGATCCTCCGAGAGGCAATCAGATAGTCCCTGGATCAACTTTACCTATAAATGTTATATCCAGTTATATTCTGTGTATCCAAGAAAGAATCCAGGACTTTCCTACAGCAATCCACTGAGCTGGCCACAACCAACTCTGGAGGGAGTCTATTCCACATTCTCACAGCTCTCACTGTGAAGAAACCTTTCCGTGTTTGGAGATTACATTTCTTTTCCTCCAGACGTAAAGTGTGCCCCCCTTGTCCTCTGTGATGACCTCAGGGGGAATAACTACACCAAGTTCACTATATGAACCACTGATGTATTATACATGGAGATCATATCCCCCCCTTATGTATTATACATGGAGATCATATCCCCCCCTTATGTATTATACATGGAGATCATATCCCCCCTTATGTATTATACATGGAGATCATATCCCCCCTTATGTATTATACATGGAGATCATATCCCCCTTATGTATTATACATGGAGATCATATCCCCCCTTATGTATTATACATGGAGATCATATCCCCCTTATGTATTATACATGGAGATCATATCCCCCCTTATGTATTATACATTGTATCATTACATACATCCTATTATACATTGTATCGTTATATACATTCCATTATACATTGTATCATTATATACACCCCAGTATACATTGTATCATTATATACATCTCATTATACATTGTATCGTTATATACACCCTATTATACATAGTATCGTTGTTTACACCCTATTATACATTGTATCGTTGTATACACCCTATTATACATTGTATCGTTGTATACACCCTATTATACATTGTATCATTATATACACCCTATTATATATTGTATCAATATATACATCCCATTATACATTATATCATTATATACATCCTATTATACATTGTATCATTATATACATTCTATTATACATTGTATCATTATATGCATTCTATTACACATTGTATCATTGTATACATTCCATTATACATTGTATCATTATATACATCCCATTATACATTGTATCATTATATACATTTTATTATACATTGTATCATTATATACATCCTATTATACATTGTATCATTATATACACACACCCCATTATACATTGTATCATTATATACACCCTATTATACATTGTATCATTATATACACCCTATTATACATTGTATCATTATATACATCCCATTATACATTGTATCATTATATACATCCTATTATACATTGTATCATTATATACATTCCATTATACATTGTATCATTATATGCATTCTATTATACATTGTATCATTATATACATTCCCTTATACATTGTATCATTATATACATCCCATTATACATTATATCATTATATACATTCGATTATACATTGTATCATTATATACATCCTAATATACATTGTATCATTATATACATACCATTATACATTGTATCATTATATACACCCCAGTATACATTGTATCATTATATACATTCTATTATACATTGTATCATTATATACATCCCATTATACATTGTATCATTATATACATCCCATTATACATTGTATCATTATATACACCCTATTATACATTGTATCATTATATACATCCCATTATACATTGTATCATTATATACATCCTATTATACATTGTATCATTATATACATTCTATTATACATTGTATCATTATATACATCCCATTGTACATGGTATCATTATATATATTCCATTATACATTGTATCATTATATACATCCTATTATACATTGTATCATTATGTACATCCCATTATACATTGTATCATTATGTACATCCCATTATACATTGTATCATTATGTGCATCCCATTATACATTGTATCATTATATACATCCCATTATACATTGTATCATTATATACATCTCATTATACATTGTATCATTATATACATCCCATTATACATTGTATCATTATATACATCCCTTATACATTGTATCATTATATACATCCCATTATGCATTGTATCATTATATACATCCCATTATGCATTGTATCATTATATACATCCCATTATACATTGTATCATTATATACATCTCATTATACATTGTATCATTATATACATCCCATTATGCATTGTATCATTATATACATCCCATTATGCATTGTATCATTATATACATCCCATTATACATTGTATCATTATATACATCCTATTATACATTGTATCTCTCGAACTCCTGGCATAGAGAGAAAAAAAAAGTTTGTTAAAAAAAAAAAATACCTAGATCAAGGTTTGATCTAGTTCAGTGCCAGGGTTATTGTTTGGGTCAATGTCAGGGTCAAAGGTCAGGATTTAAAAAAATTGGTAGTGTCAGTTATTGTCAGTGTCAGTGTGTTTTAGGTAAAAGAAAAAAAAAGACAAAAACAAAATGCACACTCTTGTTCCTGAGCTGTACTCCGGGTACAAACAACAAATAACAGACATATATGGTATCGCTGCGATCGTCAAGAGCTGGAGAATGTATTTTGGGTTGTTCTTTGGTGGTAGGTTATGGTAGTAGTAACAAGACACACAGCTAAATAAAAAAAATATTTTTTTTTTACTATTTTGGACCAGTTTTCTATTGATAATAAAAAAAAAATCAGATGTCCATTACCATTTACCACCAAATGAAAGCCCAATTTTTCCTGAAAAAAAAACGCGGTATAATTCCCCCGGATATCCAAAGTAGTTGTGATGATACGGACGGTTTTACTAACACATGTCAACGTTGCAAAATTGTGCCTAGGCATTTAGTTTTACCCTCAGGCGTGAAGGGGTTAAACCACCTTATGGGAGTGTAAGGAAGGCTTTTTCTTGGCACTTTTTATTTTGATCATTATACAGTAATATACCATTGGCATTTTTCTTTTATATTTTATATCGCTCCATGTGGACATATCTGGGAAGGAGAGTCATCATCTGAGGATACTACACCCCACCTGCAGGCTTGTCTTTTTGTCTCTTAAAGCTATATTGCTCGAGAATTCACAGTATTTGGTGAGTGTGGATCAAATGTCTTTTTTTTTTTCACTGAAGATGTGAGCATGCTGGAAAATGTATGAAATTTGTGTTAGAGTTCTACATATTTTTTTTGTCACAAATTTTTTGGGACGTTGGAATTTAATTTGGGACTTTTGCTTGTTGGACTTTAATATATAATTTTTCACATTTTTATTATTTGTATTATTTGTCACTTTAGGAGTATATTTTGATGTTCAGTCATTTTTTGAACAGCAGCATTTATTTTAATATACTGTTTATTCTTTTGGCGCAAGCTTTCTATATATTTTGTTAACCTCTGGAGGGACCCTAGGGATCAGAGGAACCCTGGTTGAGAAACCCTAGAAGCTGGAAGTTTTTGTATAGGCACCACTACACCAGAACTACTCCGGTGATGTCCATTAGCGTCCCGCGCTAAGCGGCTGTCCCACTCCATTGAGAACAAGCAGAGCATTTTCTGATTGGACGAGGCGGAGAACATAATGTCACTGCCTTGTCTTTCCTCCACATCCAATCAGAGTACTGTGACGATCGCATGTCAGACCCCTGACCTTCTCACCAAACTCGTGACCGAAGGACTAGCCAATCTGAAACCGTGATGTCACATGCGTAGCAATGCCACACCCACCTGCAACATGTACAATGATTTTGGACCTCCAATCGTTGTACCGGCAGCCTGAATGCGATTGTTACTGGGTCAGGTTAATTACGCAATTAACCCTTCACACTGCCACCACCTCCTTTTTGTACAGAGAAAGAGGAAACTCGGCAATATCAGCAATAACACTATAATGGTTAAGATAATCGTCTGTATAACACGGTCACCACGGACTGGTTATACAGAGGGTTAAACAAACACGGTAGTGCTCTTTTAGAGGCATGAATTTGTAAGTTGCATCAAGGAGCTATAGAAACAGTTCAACACTTTCGGAAAGAAAGATTTATTATTAAAAGGTCAAAAGGGTGCAATAAAAATATTTACAGAAAAAAGATGTAACCAATATATATATAAATATACAGAGAACAACAGCACAGCAAAAGATAACAGAAAGGAGGTTAAAGGGTTAAAGTACTTGCCAATCAGCCTTGGGTTTGCAGATCAGGTTTCAGAGCAAAAGGGCACGTCTCCCAAGTTGGTACTGATGTTAAAAGGGAGAATTCTTCAACTTAACTCTCTTAGGCCTGACAGCCTATTTTGAGGGCCCCCAGCAGGGGGGTGTCTCTAAAGCCAAGGACCAATGCTTCATTTAGGGAGGGAAGGTCTGGATGGAGACCTAAACTAGAGCCAAAATCTCTCATAGTTCATATTATAGCTCATAACTTTTCCTGTGCACAAGTGACATTCTACTCGCGGGTAGATTACTATGCAGACGCATCTGAGGAATGGTTAGATATGAAATATGAAATACATACTCAGAGGGTTCCAGAGATGTAATTTTCTGCTTTTCTAGGTATTCCAGTCAGGGAGTGTGACATATCAAACTGTTTGTCTTCTCATGGGCAATCAGAAGATATGCCTAGTTTTTATGTAAGTCTCTCATATTCCAAGATATGAGACATAGGGGTAAAATGGATTATAAAAGTGTATCCAGTCTCTACTCCTCTGGAATGTGTTTGAACTCAGGGGAAGGCGATGTGCTAGAATGCACAGGTTCTTTGGGCAGCGAGGCCCCAGCTCCCTTGGGGAGTTTTTTAGCTCGGGGCTTGCTGCTGTGCTCTGGCCTTCTGTGACACTGCCAACACACAGGCCATATGTCACTGTGGCTGAACAGAGAGGAAGAATGAGAATGAGGGGGATATGTTTGTACAAGATGGAGGATCCTTTGCCAAGATGGAGATTGGAGCCAAAATAGTTGAACCGCGTCCATCTCTGTGGGCATGATTGCTAAGTACGATTTGCCCTTGTCGAGAAGATGGAATGAAATCTCCGAATGCCCAGCGTCTACCCTTCTGTGTTTTGATAAAGAGCAAGGCAGTCACTCAGAACGGGACCCAGAAACTAATGGAGGTCACTGAAGCATTGGTGCCCACTACGGTGATTTCCAGAAGGTTCCCACAGTTATGGTACATACATAGTCCCATTGGTCCAAGATGGACCAATGAGATTAGGTAAAATATCCATACCTGGAATTCTTCTTTAACCGCCTCCGGCCTGCCATATAGTAATATGACGGGCGCAAGGTGGTTTCTCGCGTTCTGGGAGGACGTCATATGACGTCCTCCCATTCTCACCGCGCATGCACAGCTCAGGGAGAACGCAGCACGGCGATCGGCGGTGAACTGTGTCTCTCGGATCACCGATCACGGAAAAAGCCGAGGATGTCGGCTCGGTCATGTGATCAGCTGTGTCCAATCACAGCTGATCAAATGTAAACAGGATAATGCCGGTTATCAGCATTTCTCTCCTCTCGAGCTGTCACGCTGACAGAGGAGAGGAGAGGCGGCTTTCCACGGAGGGAACATGTACACTGATCATCAGGGCACTGATGATCACTGTGCCCTGATGATCAGTGTAGCCCCAGCAGTGCCACCTGTCAGTGTCCATCAGTGCCTTGTGTCAGTGCCCATCAGTGTCACATCAATGCCACATATCAGTGCCTACCAGTGCACATCAATACCACATATCAGTGCCCATCTGAGCTGCCTTTCAGTGTCACCCATCAGTGCCAGTCAGTGCCACCTATCAATGTCAATCAGTGTTGCATGACCACGCAATTGTCATTCAAAGTGTGATTGCACTGAAAGCTGAAAATTGGCCTGGGCAGGAAGGTGTTGACAGTACCCTGTAGGCAGGAAGGGGGTAGAAGTGCCCGGTAGGCAGGAAGGAGGTAGAAGTGCCCTGTAGGCAGGAAGGGGGTAGAAGTGTCCTGTAGGCAGGAAGGGGGTAGAAGTGCCCTGTAGGCAGGAAGGGGGTAGAAGTGCCCTGTAGGCAGGAAGGAGGTAGAAGTGCCCGGTAGGCAGGAAGGGGGTAGAAGTGCCCTGTAGGCAGGAAGGGGGTAGAAGTGCCCGGTAGGCAGGAAGGGGGTAGAAGTGTCCTGTAGGCAGGAAGGGGGTAGAAGTGCCCTGTAGGCAGGAAGGGGGTAGAAGTGTCCTGTAGGCAGGAAGGGGTTAGAAGTGCTCGGTAGGCAGGAAGGGGGTAGAAGTGCCCTGTAGGCAGGAAGGGGGTAGAAGTGCCCGGTAGGCAGGAAGGGGGTAGAAGTGCCGGGTAGGCAGGAAGGGGGTAGAAGTGTCCTGTAGGCAGGAAGGGGGTAGAAGTGCCCGGTAGGCAGGAAGGGGGTAGAAGTGTCCTGTAGGCAGGAAGGGGGTAGAAGTGTCCTGTAGGCAGGAAGGAGGTAGAAGTGTCCGGTAGGCAGGAAGGGGGTAGAAGTGCCCGGTAGGCAGGAAGGGGGTAGAAGTGCCCTTTAGGCAGGAAGGGGGTAGAAGTGTCCTGTAGGCAGGAAGGGGGTAGAAGTGCCCGGTAGGCAGGAAGGGGGTAGAAGTGTGTCCTGTAGGCAGGAAGGGGGTAGAAGTGTCCTGTAGGCAGGAAGGAGGTAGAAGTGTCCGGTAGGCAGGAAGGGGGTAGAAGTGCCCGGTAGGCAGGAAGGGGGTAGAAGTGCCCTTTAGGCAGGAAGGGGGTAGAAGTGTCCTGTAGGCAGGAAGGGGGTAGAAGTGCCCGGTAGGCAGGAAGGGGGTAGAAGTGTCCTGTAGGCAGGAAGGAGGTAGAAGTGTCCTGTAGGCAGGAAGGGGGTAGAAGTGTCCTGTAGGCAGGAAGGGGGTAGAAGTGTCCTGTAGGCAGGAAGGGGGTAGAAGTGTCCTGTAGGCAGGAAGGGGGTAGAAGTGCCCTGTAGGCAGGAAGGGGGTAGAAGTGCCCTGTAGGCAGGAAGGGGGTAGAAGTGCCCTGTAGGCAGGAAGGGGGTAGAAGTGTCCTGTAGGCAGGAAGGAGGTAGAAGTGCCCTGTAGACAGGAAGGGGGTAGAAGTGCCCTGTAGGCAGGAAGGGGGTAGAAGTGTCCTGTAGGCAGGAAGGAGGTAGAAGTGCCCTGTAGGCAGGAAGGGGGTAGAAGTGCCCTGTAGGCAGGAAGGGGGTAGAAGTGCCCTGTAGGCAGGAAGGGGGTAGAAGTGTCCTGTAGGCAGGAAGGGGGTAGAAGTGCCCTGTAGGCAGGAAGGGGGTAGAAGTGTCCTGTAGGCAGGAAGGGGGTAGAAGTGTCCTGTAGGCAGGAAGGGGGTAGAAGTGCCCTGTAGGCAGGAAGGGGGTAGAAGTGTCCTGTAGGCAGGAAGGGGGTAGAAGTGCCCTGTAGGCAGGAAGGGTGTAGAAGTGTCCTGTAGGCAGGAAGGGGGTAGAAGTGCCCGGTAGGCAGGAAGGGGGTAGAAGTGTCCTGTAGGCAGGAAGGGGGTAGAAGTGTCCTGTAGGCAGGAAGGGGGGGTAGAAGTGCCCTGTAGGCAGGAAGGGGGTAGAAGTGTCCTGTAGGCAGGAAGGGGGTAGAAGTGCCCTGTAGGCAGGAAGGGGGTAGAAGTGCCCTGTAGGCAGGAAAGGGGGTAGAAGTGTCCTGTAGGCAGGAAGGGGGTAGAAGTGCCCGGTGGGCAGGGAGGGGGTAGAAGTGCCGGGTAGGCAGGAAGGGGGTAGAAGTGCCCGGTAGGCGAGGGGTTAAATGTAAACCAGCACTTTTCATGGTCCTAGTGCATGTTTTGTATTATTTGTGGTGGGTTCCTGTTGTTTTTTGTTTATAGCTGTGGATCGGGTTAACTTTCACTAAGATTAATAATTTCATTTCATCATATTCGTTATGTTGGAACGATTCATTTTTGGAATTCGTTTTGTATATTCATTGTTTTTAAATGGACTTAAATTTCAGAAGAAGTCTACATTCGTGCTATTTTATTCTGTTCTATTTTCTTCTTTTCTATGCTATTATTTTATTTTCTATTCTTTTCTTTTCTATTTTATTCTATTCTTTTCTTTTATATTCTGTTTTATTCTATTCTTTTCTATTCAATGTTATTATTTTATTTTCTGTTCTATTCTGTTCTATTTTTTTTTTTATATTCTGTTCTATTCGATTCTACTCTATTCTGTTTTATTCTATTCAGTTTTTTCTTCTATTCTATTTTTTATTATTTCTATGCTAATATTTTATTTTCTATACTATAATTTTCTTTTTTTTTTTCTATTCTTTTCTATTATTTATTTCAGGTACTTATATAGCGCTGTCAATTTACACTGCACTTTACATATATATTGTACATTCACATCAGTCCCCGCCCCCGAGGAACGTACAATCTAAGGTCCCTAACTCACATTCATACATACACATAATAGGGACAATTTAACAGGAGATAATTAGCCTGCCAGCATGTTCTTGGAGTGTAGGAGGAAACCGGAGTAAAACCACGCAGGCACAGGGAGAACATGCAAACTCCAGGCAGGTAGTGATGTGGCTGGGATTCAAACCAATGACCCTAGTACTGCCAGGCGGAAGTGCTAACCATTTAGCCACTGTGCTGCCCATTCTATTCTTTTCTTTTATATTCTGTTTTATTCTATTTTTTTTCTATTAAATTCTATTCTTTTATTTTCTGTTCTATTCTATTTTTTTCTTATATTCTGTTCTATTCTATTCTACTCTATTCTGTTTTATTCTATTCAATTTTTTTTCTATTCTATTCTATAAAACAGCCTAAGTAGGATTTATCATCTTATTTCACTTTTATACCTTACTGTATTTATTGCAATATATTTACATTTGGAATTCTGATCATTCTTTTTGTTATATTTATTTCGGATTCGTTGAAATTTGTTACTATTGTGATTCCAAGATTCAGATACACCCAAATCTCCGAATAATGAAAATTTTGTAACAAAACAAACCACGTGTCTAATGTCTATTTTTTCTAGAGGGACCCTAGGGATCCATGGAACCCTGGTTGAGAAACCCTACTCTAGCAGCTGGAAATTCATGTATAGACGCCACTCCACTGAGAATATATTGACATTTGGAATTCGAATTCATTTTCGATTTCAGATAATTCTTTTTGTTATATTTATTTCGGATTTGTTGAAATTTGTTACTATTGTGATTCGGATACACCCGAATCTTCGAATAATGAAAATGTTGTAAAGAAACAAACCACATGTGTCTAATGTCTATTCTTACTTCTGGGTAGCTTCAGTGATCTCCTGGCGGAGATCTGTGATCCTGATGATAGTCTGCAATGCTCCGAGCAGGAGAATTATTCCATGTGGGTTTGCTACCTGCAGTACTGTCTATCATGTCTGCGAGTGTCCTGGTTACACTTGGAGCGTCATCTTCTTTTATCAAGACGCTGTCCACCGGGAGGGCATTAAATACCTGTGTTGTGAAGTACTCTGCCAGAGATGGAAGATTGTGAAACCCTGTTTTCATGACTGCAGTAAAGCTGTCGACTTCTGTAATGGTCTGGGTTTGCTTGAGTTACCTGCACCCTCCATTGACTCATTACTGCAGTGCAGCTTGGTCATCAACCTAGAAGGCAGAAACGACATTCAGCGCCAAGTTGCTGTCCTCAGAGGTCAAGTTGATCTTGAAATTTGAATGACATCTGATTTGAACCATGTTTCATAAAATCTGACGTTCCAAGCTAAATCCAATTTCAGAGTTAAGGCAGATGAGATTCCTGAAAGGCTTCTTGGAAAAAGGAACCAAAGACAGTTTCACAAAAGTTACTGACTAACGTCAGTTATAATAGATGAAAGCCTTCAGGATGCCGTAGGTTCCCAACATCAGGCTGTTCTCCACTAGGGTTCCTCCAGAAGTTGGAAGGAGTTCTTGGAGAAGCGGTTGAATGAACTGCAATGTGATGGCTAACTTCAGTTATTAAAGGTGCAAGCTTTCAGGATGCCGTAGGTTCCCAACATCAGGCTGTTCTCCACTAGGGTTCCTCCAGATGTTGGCAGGGGTTCTTGGAGAAGTGTTTGAATGAACTGCAATGTGATGGCTTACTTCAGTTATTAAAGGTGCAAGCTTTCAGGATGCCGTAGGTTCCTAACATCAGGTTGTTCTCCACTAGGGTTCCTCCAGAAGTTGGCAGGGGTTCTTGGAGAAGCTGTTGAATGAACTGCAAAGCGATGGCTAACTTCAGTTTTTAAAGGTGCAAGCATTCAAGATGCCGTAGGTTCCCAACAACGGGCTGTTCTCCACTAGGGTTCCTCCAGAAGTTGGCAGGGGTTCTTGAGAAGCTGTTGAATGAACTGCAAAGCGATGGCTAACTTCAGTTTTTAAAGGTGCAAGCATTCAAGATGCCGTAGGTTCCCAACAACAGGCTGTTCTCCACTAGGGTTCCTCCAGAAGTTGGCAGGGGTTCTTGGAGAAGCAGTTGAATGAACTGCAAAGCGATGGCTAACTTCAGTTTTTAAAGGTGCAAGCATTCAGGATGCCGTAGGTTCCCAACATCAGGTTGTTCTCCACTAGGGTTCCTCCAGAAGTTGGCAGGGGTTCTTGGAGAAGCTGTTGAATGAACTGCAAAGCGATGGCTAACTTCAGTTTTTAAAGGTGCAAGCATTCAAGATGCCGTAGGTTCCCAACAACGGGCTGTTCTCCACTAGGGTTCCTCCAGAAGTTGGCAGGGGTTCTTGGAGAAGCTGTTGAATGAACTGCAAAGCGATGGCTAACTTCAGTTTTTAAAGGTGCAAGCATTCAAGATGCCGTAGGTTCCCAACAACAGGCTGTTCTCCACTAGGGTTCCTCCAGAAGTTGGCAGGGGTTCTTGGAG